GAGGCAGTAATCCTTCCAGAGGGAGAAGTGGGAGTAGCTGGGGAAGAGGAAGTAACATGAACTCAAGCCAGTCAAGACGAGGCAGTTCTAGAGGTGGCGGAAGGGGTCGATAGAAGAGGTTATGACTGGGCAAGACCCAGTCTTTCTAGGACAGTATTTAAATACATCTGTTGCAGAATCACTGAGAAAGTAATTCTGCAGTCTCACAAACCTGGACTCTAAAATGGAGATCAATGAACGTGCATTAGTTTCTACAAAGGTCTTTTCAAAGATTAAATGCCGGCTAGTAATACCATCACAACTACCCTTGTTTCATTCTCCTACCCATCCCAGTCCCTTGACACTTCCAAACTTCCTGATATTTGAAAATAAAAGCTGGATTTTTTTTAGTGTTGTGAGAAATGGAGCGCCTCCACAGATTTCAGTTCATGTCCAGAACTTGTTTCTATATGTACAGTTGTCAGGAAAAAGTTACGTTGTTTTTGTATGAATACAGAATGCAATTTGTCCGAAACTTAAAAACAGAGTGTGTGATTTTGTATATACATTTTCACTAGCAAAAAATGTTTTCCTCTGAAATGCTTGTTAGGTAGCTTCCACTCAACCACAACTGCTGTGACCACTTAACTACTCAAGTCATTTAAGCCTCATAATATCAGTTACACAGAGAGGTTATGTGGCTGTAAATCATTCCTGACACAGCTGACAGGAGCACCTTTTTTCATAAGTTTAAACAACTAGAGTACTTTCATCTTTGTATTTCACGAAAATGTACACTAATCTGTATACTGAGTTTGCCTAATATGATAAAGATTTCCACTTGAAGCTCATGAACATACAAAAGTTATTAATCTAAGTTTTGATGAGAATACTGTCTATGATTCTGGTTCACCAAGATAAACATCACAGCCTGATGCCCTCCAACCACTTTGGATGGCGAACCAAAAACAGTGAGAGACTCCAATTTAACTATAAGAAGATCCATGATCCCTAATAAAAACTGCCCAACAACCTTTATCTTAGAGATAAACACATTTTTGGCCTCTTGGATTTAAATGGCCCTTAATAGTGTCTCTGAAGCAATACCAACTTAAAATAACTCATTTGTACTCTGGCAAAAGTTCAGCAGTCCACATGAAGAAAGGAAGGGCTTAGTACAATTCAGTACAAACTACAGATTTGATTTTTTAAAAAAATAATTTGCTATATGAAACACTAAGCTTCACATTCTGTATCAGAATGATGTATAGTCTAATTAATCATTTTTTTAATACAAATGATACATCTCTTAGAGACTTAGAACAAGTTCATTTGAAGCCAAACGGTTAACATTTCAATATATATATATATTCCTCTACTTTTCTTTGATGGGGTCTATCTACCTTTAGAACAAAGAACTTGCTCCGCAACATCCAACAAATAACATTCCACAAAGATTTATCTTCTTTGTTGTGTTTAGTTAAACCTTTGTACATAGATTGCTTAATAAGAGTAGAAAGTTCAACCCCCTCTACATTATTTAGTTAAGTTTCTCAAACAAAGATCTGCCAAATTTAAAATCCCTGAATGTTTTTAATAGGGTTAGTGAAGAAGTAGCACCAATTTCCCACATAAGGAGATGATAAATGCCTGTTCCTTCATTCTAAAAGAAAATCTGCATCCTCATTGTTATAGTTAAATGAGAATTATTGGCAGCAATCTTAAATACAGTTCTACACAAAGTATGAAACTACAGCATAGCTTTCACATCTTTGTTACAGGATGACACACTTAGTTCTAGTTCAAGTTACTTCTGTAAACATTTCATTTCCAAGTAAGATCCAAGGGAAAGGCAAGCAAGATTTCAAAAACTGGTTTGGTTTCTTTCCAATGCCAAGTTGCATTTTAGGCACATAACAACACATTTCAGTTATCTGGATTATTGTCTGTAATAGCAATACAAAAAGCAGAATGCAGTTTACTCATACTGCTTGGATAATGGTTTACTGTCTGAATGGTTGTGCTTTTTCAGCTCTTGTTGAAAGAAGTATCCAAGGTCTCACTGCGCCAGCTTAAGACTTGTTTGCTGGAATGGGGCAATCTTCTGCTTCCACAGCAGAAAGTCAGAGATTGCACAGTGCAATGTCAAGATTCTGGCCAAAAATTCAGAACTAGTGTCCATAAAACGTAAGTAGTTTGTCATATACTTCAGAAGGAGACCCTCTAAATTTAATCCTTACTTACTTCTGAGCAGAGGATTGCATTGTCAAGTCAACTGTACTCTGCAGGTACTAAGCTAATGACTTCATAAAATAATCCAATTAAATGACTACAGGATAACTGCTATATAATGCAATATTTTAATAATTACATGCCATCAACTGAATTCCAACTACTAGGAATCCTTTCTAGGGTTTTCTAGGTATAAAGTATTCAGACGGGGTTTACCAGTCCCTTTTTTTCAGGCATTCTGGTACTGTGCAGCTTGCCCATGGCTACGCAGGCTTGCTCTTCTCCAGGGAGGCACTGTGGGGAATATAACTTCTCACCCCTGGCTTTATAGCCAATTGCTCCAACCCACTGAATTATCCAGCCAGTGTATAATGCACCATTTTTATTCAAAACTATTTGCCACCTCTTATTTCATTATGGCAAAACACATGACTTGGACAACTGAAATTCAAATATGCCATAGTTTAAAGCCAGAATTTTGTGCAGTTCTCAGAATCCTTGGATTCTATTTTTCAATAAACATGCACAGGAACGGCTCTTTATCTGCAGTAAATTCTTTATTCAAAAGATCAAACTACTGAGATACATAAACAACTACTTGGCTGCTGCTTCCAAGTTTTTCATTTTTCATACTGCATTGATAGGTACTTGCCCACCACTGTATTGGTCCATCATGCTTTTTCAGCAAGAAGCTACAGTCAATTATGTACTTTTGAACTCAGTTATTTATAGGTACTTACTCTTAAACTGCCAAAATGTTTCAACAACTGCCAGTTTGTTAACTATGTGGTTTGTTAACTACAAACTAACCAGTTTGTTAACTATGTGGTTGTAAACCTCTAACCATTTCAACAGCTTAGTTCACTAATGACACTTAAAGAAACCTAAGAGTGTTTCAAAGGCTACTTTTAAACAAAGCTTAGGTTTATAGTAGAAAACCCAGAATCCCTTAGCCAGCCCATCCAGGGGCTGAGGGGACTCTGGGAGTTGTAGTTGAAAAAGTAATCTTCCCAGATTTTGGGTCAGAAGAGGTACTAACTGTTTAACAGCAACAGGAGTCAGAATGTTATTTGGGATTTATATCAACATATCTTAATTCACAAATTAGAGCAGCAAATTACTACTAATTAAAGAGTTGCTATTTGCATTCCTGAGTGCACACGAAGTGGCATGATTGATCCATGACCACAAATGCAAGCAGAAACTCATTAATTAACAGAGTGATTTATGTAATTACATTTAATACTGGTATGAATCCCCAGGACACTAATCAACAGTAAAAAGTGTAATGTTTCCACCTGCCCTAAATTTATCACCAGTAGCTTATGGACGATAAAAGGGAACAATAGGTAAGTTTGGCCTTGGAGTTTAAAACGAAGCAGGGGAAAGGCTAATAGAGTTTTGTCAAGAGAACAAGCCGGTCATCACCCTCTTTTCCAACAACACATGGACATCACCAAATGGGCAATGCCGAAATCAGATTGATTATATTCTCTGCAACCAAAGATGGAGAAGCTCTATACTGTCAGCAAAAACAAGACCTGGAGCTGATTGTACCTCTGATCATCAGCTTCTTATAGCAAAATTCAAGCTTAAACTGAAGAAAGTAGGAAAAAACAATTGGGTTAGTCAGGTATAATCTAAAAAACCAAATCTCTTATGAATACACAGTGGAAGTGAAGAACAGATTTAAGGAACTCAATTTGGTGGACAGAGTGCCTGAAGAGCTATGGATGGAGGCTCATAACATTGTGCAGGAGACAGCAACAAAAACCATCCCAAAGAAAAGGAAATGCAAGAAAGCAAAGTGGCTGTCCAATGAGGCCTTAGAAATAGCAGAGAGGAGAAAGGAAACAAAATGCAAGGGAGATAGGGAAAGTTAAAGAAAATTGAATGCAGATTTCCAAAGAATAGCAAGGAGAGACAAGAGGGCCTTCTTAAATAACAGTGCAAAGAAATAGAGGAAAAAAATAGAGAGGGAAAACCCAGAGATCTGTTCAAGAAAATTGGAGATATTAAAGGAACCTTTTGGAGTTTAATTATAACAATTATAATACCACTGGAGTTTAATTATAACAATCTATTCGGGCAAATCTTTCCACATATTGTGATTTCTCTAAATTAAATATGATAAAGGGCAAAAATGGTAGGGACTGCCAAAGAATTGATGCTTTTGAATTGTGGTGCTGAAGGAGACTCTTGAGAGTCCCCTGGACTGCAAGAACAAACCTATCCATTTTGAAGGAAATCAACCCTGAGTGCTCACTGGAAGGACAGATCCTTAAGCTGAAACTTTGGCCATCTCAAGAGAAGAGAAGACTCCCTGGAAAAGACCCTGATGTTGGGAAAGTGTGAAGGCAAGAGGAGAAGGGGACGACAGAGAACGAGATGGTTGGACAGTGCCATCGAAGCGACCAACATGAATTTGACCAAACTCCGGGAGGCAGTGGAGGACAGGAGGGCCTGGCATGCTCTGGTCCATGGGGCCACAAAGTGTCAGACACGACTAAAAGACAAGCTCATGGAAAAAGCACCCCCCAGCCATCCAAGAAACTAACCATCCATTATATAAATGGTATAGAGAATGCACAGAATTAAATGAATGCATTCTTGCTAAAATATTGAACAACCTGTGGTGATTTTTGTAGCAGCAGGATGTTGACATAATGTGTGAGTGATTCTACTTTTATCATACAACACATTCAAAACTGTAAAGCTACAGCAAAGTAGTAAGAAGCAGATCATTAGACAATACGTAGCCTTCACAGAAGTCTTCCAGATACGCCAAATGAGAAACAATTCCAGGAACCACTGGAGTTTAATTATAACAATAATCTATTCAGGCACATCTTTCCATATATTGTGATTTCTCTAAATTACAACGAAAGCATAAATCATTTTGGCAGCATTAGGATCTGTATCAATGGTCCATGTCATTGAATTCAGGCAGAGGTGATATTTAGTAGCCATATAGTTTTGAATAGTTTCAGGGATAGAAAACATAAGCTTGAATAGAAAGTGTTAGATAAAGGTTAGTTTAAACAACTTGAGAAGTCTGTTCCGGATAAACAAATATTATTATAATGCCTGTTTTCAGAAAGTGGGCCACACATCAGTTGATAAAGTAACAACGCTTTTGCTGAATAGAAGTCACAATTGCTTAGAATGTTAGAAACCAGATTAGTTTTTGCTCCTGAAAATGCTAAAGAAATCTCAATGAATGATGATTTGTCCATTTCCATTTTGAAGAAGTTTAAAATATAGAGTAAGAATGGGCCTGGCATCAGCACTCAGCATCCTTTGACACGTGTAAGGCAGTGGGCACCGGACCAGGTGGATTCTTTCGTGAGATTGGGAAAACTGCCAGGCAGCCTCAGGAGGATAGCCCTTCAAATGCAGGAATAGGGGGAAAAATTAAGAGCCCACCCAGGCTCCTGCAGATCCCTGGGAAAGCAGATCAAAAACGCTAGAAAGAAACAACATTCTTTCTTGCTACGACTTCCTGCTGTTGAGGGACAGCATCAAAGGCCACACACCTCACCCCCCCTCCTAAAAAAATCTTGAGTCCAACCATGGAAGGAATTGTCTCTCTCCCCAACTATTTGCATATTCTTCGATTTGCAAGTCTTAACGTCCTTTTGCTTCCACATAGCTGAATTCAAGTAGCCCTCCTCAATAGCAACAGGCAATCATCCTAAAGCTTTTCAGCTGCTCCCTTGGGTTTCGTCTCCTGGAACTTCAAAGGTCCCAATATGGAAGCGCTCCACGCCATAGTTCCCCACAGGAATAACGTAACCGGGCAGTCGGATCTAGCGTTGATCAAGAAGGGCCCGGGTCTCTTTCTCACAGAGATCCATCCGGGCGCAACTGCAAGAACAGATTCGCCTCCACAGCCGCCCTCACACCGGGAGAGTTTTGGACACCTGACGCCGTACCAAACCTCCCAAAAGCCCGCCGACGTATCGCAGTCCGGTAGTCCCGCCGGGCACCGAGGATAGCAAATAGGCGGCACCGGCTGCCAACTGGACCGCCGCCCCCAGGGTGGTGAGTAGGGTGCTCCGGAGCCCAAGTGCAGCGTACAGCGTGCCGCCGACCGAGCCTAAGTAGAGGATGGCTAGTCCGCGGCGGCCGGGCTCGCCTAAGAGGCGACTGGGGCCTCGCAGGAAGCCGGCGGCGCCCAAGGCAAAGGCCGAACCCAGGGACCAAAGGAGCGCAAACTTCCGAAGCAGCAGGAGCGACCCGTAGAGCGTGGCGAGCCCGAAGCAGAGAGCGGCAAGCACCAAGCACAGCGCGCTCCCCGTCAGCCGCTGCCACCGGGAAAGGCCGCTCGGCAGCCACGGGTCTGGCTCCGGTTCGGCGGCCCACGGCCATGATTCCGCCGCCGGGAAAGGGTTTATTCGACCCAGCCAGGACCCCCAGCCAGGACGAGGCTTCTCCGCCTCTTCCCGTAGGGAGTTCTGAGGTGCCGACGGGACTGCCGAACCTCCGCTCCCACCGCCTTTGGATTGCGCCAAGTATTCCTGTAGTTGCCGGTTCAGATCCGCCATTTTGCCGAAGAGGTTCTTGGGAAGGTGCCTAGAGCGACGAAGGTACTGTATTTTGTAGAGGTGGCAACCGCCCCCTCACGCGTTCGACTCTTGAGTCCGCCATAAAGCCTTTTTTTCCTAGAGAATATAGAACGCTTCCCTTTCTCTCTCAGCAGAGAGAGGATTGCATGCTAGCCCTGCTGCTCAGACTTCGGATGTGGCTGCTTCAGGGATGCTGCAGTACGTACATGCCAGCCTCCAGGGTTTCTGAGTCAATACATCCTTCTGCCTTTCTTTTTGCATTTATTCTACCTTGAATGATTAGCTGCAGCAAGCTGTCCTTTCCGTTGGTTGTTATTACCCAAATGTTCAGGCTTTCTACATTTTTACGATATCTGATTTTTCCTCATTAGCATCAAGAATTTTTCTTCCTTTGCTTTTTCTATCCAATAAATGCTTAGCATAAAGCTACCTACAGTTTCATCTCATTAAAAGCAATAATATACGTTGTTGTTAAATGCCATCTCTGAATAAATGACCCTGTGAATAAGTGACCTCCAAAATGCCATGTCCTCAACAGCGCTGTTCAGCTCTTGCAAACTCAAGGGGGTGGCTTCCTTTATGGAGTCAATCCATCTCACAGTTGGTCTTCCTCTCTCCCTGTTGTACTCGACTTCAGCATTATTGCCTTTTCTAGCCAATCTTGCCTTATCATAATGGGCTGAAACTATGACAGCCTCATTTTTGTCATCCTTTTAAATCGCTTCTGAATAGGTCTTGCATCTTGTCTTTATATACTGCTTGTACCTTCTCTTTACTGTATTTTATCTTGGTCAGATACTGTGCTTTATCAAATGTTATTTGTTCTTCATAAAAAACAATTGTTTTATTTTTTACATATCTCGAGTCTAACTGTAGTCTCGTGCACCAATCTAGAAAGACCTTCTACTCCTCTAGCTCATCTCTAGTCTAATATTTACATTCCAAATTGGAAGAATACCTAGCACCATACAATGCCCATTTGCAAAGCCATTTTTACGAGTTGGTTGTACAATACTTTTTTAAGATCAAAGAAGCTGCTTGTGTGTGCGTGTGCGTGCGTGCATGTATTTATGGTGTGTGTGTGTGTATACACACACACATGCACCATAAAGCATGGAACAGCCACACACGCGCACACACACACTATAAAGCATGGAACAGCCACCTAGATTGTACAAGATTTTGATATTTAATATACAGTATATAGTTTTTGTAAATGCTACGGATTTGTTTGCAATAAAGAATGATCTGCTTATATATAACCCAGTCCTCAAATGCATGCAGAAGTCTTGATTTGGGTTGTCTTTTATGCAACTCAGTGCCTTCTGAAATGTTTAAAAATTAACGTGTGTGTATGTGTGTAAATGTAAAATGTCACTGGGAATGTTGAAACTGTCTACATGGATTCTGACTGAAAGGCACAACTGTGCTTTTTTTGCATTTATTTCAGAAGAAATTCAATAGAATCATAAGTATTTGTGGTGAACAATAAATATATAGATAATACGGGTGTGTTATGTGCCTACAAATCAGAACCAACTTATAGTGACCCTAATGGGGTTTTCAAGATAAGGGAGACATTTAAGGGAGCAGTTTTACGAGTTCCACACACCCCAGTGAATTTTTATGGCTGAGCTGGGATTCAGACACTTGCATCTTGACTCCTAGTCCATCAGTCTATCCACTATACCACACTGGGTATAAATAATAATCATGGCCCATCAAGTCAGTTCTAACTTATGGCAACCCTTTTTTATCTCTGGAGAAACAGTGGAGGATTGAACTGCCTCAGTATAGCTTACAGCTGTAGCTATTTCTTATAGTTCTTCCTCTCCCTACTCAACTGTCTGCTTCATTCTGTTTTATCCTACTTGACAACTTGCATATTAGTATTAATTAAATGGAAAAAGGCTTGAACATCAAAAGCATATGAACTGATGTCTTTCATACTATAATTTCTAGCTAGTTGCCCTGCTGCTCATTGATACAAATGCCAAATTCTACATTTTTTCAGTTGCTCAGCGACATCTGTCACTGCCAAGGAGAAGAAAAGGGGGTTCTTAAGGAAATCATTTCCTTACTGTCCCAATTAAGACACTGAACCACCCTATATTTTTGCCAATCTTAAACAAATGTTGCCACAGCAATGCCTGTTAATAAGCACTTTTTCCTAAGACTGTAATAATTAGATGCTTGGTTTCAGAACCGTCATCTGCTCAGTTAGCATTTCACTCTACTGTCTCTCTACTCCGTGAATGAGTGTGTGGAGCTGCCTCATACTGAGTCAAATCATCTTGCCTTTGTGCACGTTAGTAGTCTCTCCAGTTTCAAGCATTTCACTCTTCTGGAATCCTTCCTTAATCAATCACTCAGGGTTGAATCCAGGATCTTCTGCATACTAAACATGCTCTTCTCTAGGGAAGGTGGAAGATTTATGCTCCTTTTTGTTCTGGAGAAGGTGTTGCAGATATAGACAGATGTTCAACAGAAATGCCGCTCCTTGTCTTGAAATATAATAAATCACTGAATGAAATGATTCTATACAGTATTTTTAAAAGAATTATGGGAAATCGTAATAACCTTCCGTCAGAGTTTATAAATGTTCCTTTTTCAACCACAGCTCCCAGAATCGTTAAGCCAGCATGGAGTGGCCAAAAAGTAATTTGTACAAACTTTAAAACCTACCAAGTTTCAGAAACTCTGACACTAAAATTCTTCAATTGTGGTTTATAACAAAGCATCTAAGAATGTCTTAATAAATAGTGATTGTTTCTCAGTGCTCAAAGTAAGAGCTCCAGTATGAAAACTTACCTAAAAATAAATTCAACTGTTTAAATTTTCATTTACCTTGCAATATCTCGCTTAACTGCTGTCTATTTTTGTTCTTGGTTTAAAAACATTGATTGGAACATTCTTTGTTAAGTGTTTCTAGAATCTGTCTGAAATTTTAAAAGACTATTGTATTACATGATTGTATTATAATGTTGTAATGTAGCCCCGTTAAGAGGAAGAGTGAGCTATTATTACTTACATCTAGAATATCAGTGTCTGCTGTTACCAAATGTACTCCTGATTGCTGCTTTAAATATGGATTAGTAAAAACAGCAGAATTATCAGCTGTAAAACAAATTATTGGGTAGGGAGAAAGTTTTTCTTCTCAGTGTTCAAGAGTCAAAGGATGCTTGCATTAGCAGATGCTTACCACTATGAGGAAGAGGCACCTTTTCCCTTTATGGTGAAAGTATTACACTTTGGAAAAAGATGTGGATAGAAAGTTCTGGCACTTGGTATACAATATTTACTATTTTGGAAGTACTTTGTTCAGTTTTAATATTTGGGAGGTATTTCATTCAGATTTTATATCCTTTCTCCCAAAGAGTGGCACACATGACTATCAACAATGATAAAATCAAGTGAAACCATGTGATTAATAGATAAAACAAACATCAATAAGTATAAAAATCACCGTTTGGCTTACAGGACTGCCACTGCAGAATTCAGAGGGATGAGGGCAAAAGTTCTCACCAAAGTGCCCTATAGATTTATAGTACAAGTAAATGCCAAAACAAATGTTACAGTACAGTACTTGAAAAACATGTATAGTCCCTTCAAAAAGGTCCTTTCAATGTGTGATACACAGGCAGAAAAATCGAACGGGATTATATTCTTGTTACGGAATATCGGTGAAGTTCCACACACTTCTTATAGCCGCCCAGAAAAAGAGATACCCCTGATCCGGGCTCCATCGAACTCTAGAAAGCAGAGCAGATCACAATCCCTTCCCTACTCCATAGCCGCTCTGCAAGGCCGCGTCCTCCTCAAGCCCACGAAGTCCCACAGCGCCAGGCCCGCCTTCGCTATTTCATTATTTATTATTTCATTCCCTTTCTAGGAAAAGTATGTGCAGGGCCGAGGGGCGGGAGGAGGCAGCTCCAAGCTCCCCGTCTGGAGCTATAGGGACGGCCCGCACATACTGCCGCTGACACAGGGCGGCGGAGAAGCGAGAGCCAGGCTGGCGGGGCGCTGCCTGAGCCCGGGACAGAACTGCTGTAGGGCCCTGGCGGGTCGGTCTCCTCGCCGCCTCCTACGAAACAGCTCGAATCTCGCCCCCTGACCCAACCGCCGCCTCAGCGGAGGCCAACCGTCGCCATGACGGGCAGGTAGAAAAAGGGGGAACCGCGAGGCCGCAGCCTGGGGTCTTGCTTGGAATTCAGCAGCAAGGGCTTCCGTTGCCTGGGCCGGCGGTGACCGGAGGAGCCGGCAGGCGGCGGACCCTGTCGGGGAGCGGAACCCCTTCCTCAGCTCCGACCTGGGAGCCCGCCCTCGCCCAGTAATACCAGTGGCGCCCGGGGAGGGGGGAAGAGCGCTATCCGAGGCCGGCGGGGAAGCAAAGGGAAGCCCTCGCATCCCTAATTCCAAGCTTTCCGAAATCAAACGCAAAGCCTCGCTTTTTTCAGTGCTCCGCGGCATAGTTTCGGTCCTTCAGGACTTAGATTTCGGCAGGAGGGGGCAAGCGAGCGTTTTTAAGAATGGGGCTTTCCGTTTGATTTCAGTAAGAGGAGGTGTTTTTTTCTTCCGTGGGGTGGGACGGGAGGGTGTCGTCTTCAACGTTGTTATCTATCAAAGGGCGGGGCCGTGGCGATCCACCCAAGTTTTGGGAAGAGGGTGCGGGGGGGAAGGCAAGGAAGACCAAATAAATAGCGAAGTGTTTCAAGCCATGGAAAAGTGTGGCTTTGTGGGACAGACAGGCAAGTGGCACTGGACTGCTGGCAGTAGGTTTGGAGTCTGTCTTGCTCTGTCTGTGACAGCCTATATGAGACCTTAAGATGCTGAAGCCTCACTACAACTGAAATGAACACTCCAGATTATTTGCTTAAATCTGTGGATTAAATATTGAAAGCCAAAAACGTCTTGTTCCTGAATGTGTGCACCAGTAACAGAGTTTACATATCTATGCCCTTACAGAATGAATTTCCACGTGAGAGCCTGTAGGGGTAAAATAAAGGATTGGAATGAGCCAGAACAGTCCATGTATAGTAAAAATTCACACAGAAGACACGGAGGTGTGTTGGACACACTTGAGAACAACTTGAATTAAAAACTTTTAATACTGTTATTTTAATAGCACTTCAGATTCTCAAAGCCACCTGTAACAGCAGAATGGCTTGGAATGGCAGCATTTGAGTAGACCACATCAACCAAATTCATCAATGAGATATAACTCGATGGAAGTGATGGAGCAAGTTACAAGTTTTCCACAGAATCCATATTACATTATCTGTTCCATATAAAACAGTGTTCAGGAAACAGCCTCAAGCAGTAATGTCTAATGTCCAGTAATGGCCTTTCTGATTTACCATACTTCTAATTGCACTAATGTCCAGTAATGGCCTTTCTGATTTATCATCTGTCCTTAGTTTGAATTACGTATGCTGATTTACTAATACTTCTACTGTACTTACATATGCACAGTGACTGTATATCACGTGATTCTATATAAACAGCTTCTGCTGTTTTTTGTTTTTGTTTGTTTTTGCACTTCTCATTTAAATACACTAATTTTCTATAATCTTCATTGAAAACTTCTGAGTATTCATTGCTGGATTTCCAGCTCTTGTTATATGCTTTAGTTTAAATGTTCTTATACACTTGTATAAGTAAGAGTAGTTCATAAGTACATATTGCTTTAGAATATCATAAGACAGAAACCAGTGTAGAAAGAGAATATTCGGAAGAGAAGAGGGTAGGGGTCAGGAATAGGCAAACAATATAAATGTTAGAATCATTACCTAAGTTTGTTTAATTTGGTGCTTTCTCTAAAAAATGGGCGTGGAATAAGGAATTGTATAAAGAAACAGCCTGTCTGTAACCCTTCTGACTCCCAGAGTCAGTGGGGTAAGGAAAGGAATGTAAAGTATGTTTATTTTCTCAGCTTTCTGGTATTGTGACAACATGTGACTTTGGAGTGCGTTTCAAAGCCAGACTTCTGTTTCCCAGCAATTGTTTTCCTAAGTGACATAAAGAACATTGTGGTTCAAAACTGTGAAGCAAGTCATCAGACAGGATTAATTCTAAGGAGTCTATTTCAGCAGTATTTTGGCTTCTTTTATATTCTGAATTTCCTGAAATATATCAGTAAGGAAATGTGGTGTGTTGGGTTGTTATTGTTACTGTTTTGCACCCTATAATGCTTTTTTAGTTTGCTGTCGTAATTTTAGTTAATGAATTGAACTAAGAATAAGATTTGAACAAACTCTGGGAGGCAGTGGAAGACAGGAGTGCCTAGCGTGCTCTGGTCCATGGGGTCACTAAGAGTCGGACACAACTTAATGACTAAACAACAACAACAAGATTCAGTTTTGGTCAAATAACTGAAGAAACTACATTAATGCCAAACTCATATTGTTATAAATGGGAGCTTTGAAGAAAACAAGCAAGCTGTTTGAATAGTTAAGGAACAGAAGATGCTGTATGAGAAAGATGAACTTTGTTCAGATTAGCATTTAGGAGAACAGTATTCTAGGAAAAAAACACAGATTTCTACAAACTTAAGTGTGGATTATGCATCAGTTATCATGAGTTACACGGCTGGTGTGAGACTTCAGGGGCTAGACTCTTCCAAACTATATCAGCGCCGGCAAGATCGTCTGAGTGGCACAATGTCGCTGTTGAGTGATGGGAGAGAGAGAGGAGCTGGGATATTCGGGTAGGTTATTTGGATACCTTTTTTTTAAGAATTTAAGGCAAAAACAAAAGAAAAACAAACAATAAAGAAGACAAAAAATGTGGCTCCTTAAAGATTAACTGCTATATTGTAATGTGAGCTTTTGTGGAGAAGTCCACTTCCTCAATATTTTTAGAGTAATTGAAGATAATTGCAGGTTGTTGAAATTATGCCTTTGATTTTGTTTGAAATTGAACCTAAGACCAGCTGGAACTGTCAGGTTTGAATTTTACTCTTCATTTGAACAAAAGGTGTATTTGGTCCTGATATTATCAGTTCTGAATAATGACAGGAAAGCAACCAGGAAAATCTTTACTTTGTTTGGTGAGGCTGCACTGACTGAAGAGGCAGTGTTGTAAATACCATGTAAACAAAAGCTAGAAAGTTGTATAAATCACCATGGAGTTGTTACATAGTTTTTGAACTACGTACAGTTAACATGTGCAACAAAAACTTTTCCCCACCTAAAGGAAATTTATTGTACTGTATTATGAATAACTTGGCAAGTTATGATTTTCTTTTTATTCTGCCAGTTTATAGTTTTATTCTTACTCTTTGCACTGAGTCATAAATTGTGCATATCTAGAATAATGGAAAGAAATGATAATTTTCCTAAACTTCCAGCCAGATATCTTTTTTTAATAGATTGCTGCTCCAAAGATTCGCAAGTTGCCATGCTCAGTGTTAGAAAGTTTCTTGTTATTATTCACTCCAACTAACACAGAACTATTTATTTTACACTAATATGCACTACGCATGAGCAGTGATGGGATTTATCAGGGAGTTTGGGCAGCAACATTTGAGATTTGGTTTTGTTCGGGTTTTTTAAAGTAATCTTCTTAAGGAGCCAGTGGAAGCTCTACATTTGTAGAATTACTGAATTACCTACAAATTACTGAAACTTGCCACAGTGGTCTAGTAGAAAAACCAGAGTAGTGGCAATGTTAGCCAAAGAAACCAAAGATTTCTGTAACATTTTAAAGATTAATGAATATGTTCTGGCGTGAGCCTTAATGGTGCACATGATTAAATGACTTGATCCATGAAAGTTTATGCTGTAAGAAATACATCAAAATGTATTAATCCTTGGAGTGTCTCAAGACTCTGTGGGAAAACCAGAAACCATTACTTTGTGTAACTGCTACATGACTAGCGATGTGGATGTAGAGAAATGTCAGTAAAAGAGGAAAATAATGCTGTAGAAGACACTATTTATTTATTTATTCAAACTATTTATATTTTAAAAGCTAAAAACAGTATACTGCATAGATTTTTAAAAGAATCAAACAAATGCCACACTAAAATGGTAAACAAAATCAACATCAAAAAACTCCCTCATACAGCCTATTGGGGAAGATTTGCCTGAAGAAAAAGATTTCCCTTTGATTGCGGAAGACAGCAAAGATGAGCCCAGCTTAGCCTCCAGTGGGTGGGAATTTCAGAGTCTACGAACAATAATAGAGAAGTCCTCTGCCATGTTCCCCCGGCCCAAGCATACCTTTGAGGGTGGTTAGACAAAGAGAAAGGCCTCTCCAATGATCTTAACAGCTGAGCAGGCTCATAAAGATGTATTCCTTGAGATAGTTTGGGCCGAAGCTATTTAGAGCTTTTTAGCTTAAAACTAGTACAGTACTGTACTTTGAATTGGTCCTGGAAATGGATCAGCAGCTAGTAGAGCTGCTGTAACAGGGAGGTTATGTGATCCTTTTAACTGGTCCCAGTTAATAATCTGGCTACAAGATTTTGGATCTGCTGAAGTTTACAAACACTTTTCAAATGCATCCAAATGTAAAGAGCATTACAGTCGTCCAGCCAGGATAGAACAAAGTCATGTGCCACTATGGCCAGGTCAGACTTCTCAAGGAATAAGTGCAGCTGACTTACTACAGTGGGGTCTTGACTTGAGAACTTAATCCGTATTGGAAGGCGGTTCTCAAGTCAAAAAGTCTGTAAGTCAAGTCTCCATTGACCTACAGTGCATTGAAAACCGATTAATCCTGTAACAGGCCGTTTTTGTTCCATTTTGGTTTTTTTCTGGTCTGTAAGTCAAATCTCAGTCTGCAAGTCAAACCTAAATTTTGCGGCCAGAGAAGTCTGTAACTCAAAAAGTCTGTAAGTCAAGCCGTCTGTAAGTCAAGGGTCCACTGTAGTTTTAATTGTGCAAAGGCATTAAAATTGTTTAGTGAAATATCATAGAAGGGAATGATGCATAAGAAAAAAGAAAGTGTGTTGCTGTTGTCGTTTTTGTTGTTTAGTCGTTTAGTCGTGTCTGACTCTTCGTGACCCCATGGACCAGAGCATGTCAGGCCCTCCTGTCTTCCACTGCCTCCCGGAGTTGGGTCAAATTCATGTTGGTAGCTTCAATGACACTGTCCAACCAGCTCATCCTCTGTTGTCCCCTTCTGTGTTGCTGTTACATGACATCAAATCCCTTCC